AGAGGTTGTCTCTGCCCCATCCCTGGAACCATTCCAGGGGAGGGTGGACCAAGCTCTGAGCACCCTGCTCTAGCTGGGGGTGTCCCTGCTCCTTGCAGGGGGGTGGGACTGGGTGACCTTGGAAGGTCCCTTCCCACCCAAACCACTCTGTGATTCTCTTGTCTTTGTTTTCCTTGCAGGTTCATGGAACAACATCCAGAAATGGACTTTTCAAAGGCTAAATTCAACTGAGCCCTCCCCTTCTCCCCCCCTCTTTCAGTCAGCCCATCAAACTGGTGCAGGGCAGGAGGTCTACTGGATGTCCCTCACCTTGGGCAAGTTAACCCCTTCCTTCCAGCACCACCACCCATGCTTGTTGCAGAGGCAGCTTCACAAAGTCACCCTTGGGTGCCCTGTGTCGAGCAGAGCACAGGCCAGAGGAGCAGCTCTGGTCAGGGCCATCATCTGTGACACTTCCCCAGCTGCAGTTAGGAGAGGAGAGGTTAGAGCTAGGCTGGGATGGGGAGGGGTGTCACTGAGCTTCATCTCCTGGCTCGTCAGAGCCTCTAGTCCACTCTTTGCCACTTCAGTTTGGCAGCAGGTACTCCTGAGTTCTTACTCCTGAGTTCTTACTCCCTTCCCCTCAGCTTTCCTGCTCTCCTCTGAAATCAGCAGCCAGTCTCTTTTGTAACAAAAATTCTCCTTCTGCCTTGGGGAAGGGGAAAAAAAAAAAAAACAGTTTTAAAAAAAGAAAACAACCACAAAAAAAAAGCTATTGCAGTAGAGACAGACTCAGCCCCTCCTTGCTGCTGCTTTCCCTTCCTGCTAGACGTAGAACAGACCAAGTCCTGCAGGATTCCCACCTCCTCTGGAGAGGCTGCCCCACTCCCTGGGGCAGGGGCCAGGCTGGGGGTGTCTCTGGGGGTGCTGTCTGTGCTGGGAGGGTGTCTCCTGCTCCTTTTCCAGAGCCTCTCTCCCTGCTGCCAGGCACTGCTGTGTCCTCTGCTGAGCCCCCCCCTGGCAAGTGGCATTTCTCTGCATGTTCTTACCTGTGTTACAGCTGCAGTGCAACATAAATTTTAAAAAACAAGTGACACATTTTGGGGTCGAGTGTGTGGTTTCTCCTGCAGAAGGGATCCAGGCTGGGCTGGGAGATGGAAGGGTGCCCAGGGGGGCTGCCTGGGTGGGTTCCAGGGGATTGTGCTCTCTGCAGCCACCTCTAAATCTCCCCCCGGGTCCCTCTAAATCTCCCCCAGGGTCCCTGCTGTGGACCAACGTTCTCTCCCTGGCCAAGGAGAGGCAGCAGGAGCTGCGTGTCTGGCTCAGGAGGGCTGGGAACAAGCTCCAGGCTCAGCTCGAGCACTGGGGCTGATCAAGGCTCCACCCTCCAGGCAGCAGCCAGCTCGTGACTGCAGGGAGGAAGCCACCCTTGCCCCGGGTCTCCTTTGTGACCAGCTAATGAGGGAAGTGTCACGAAAAGCCCAAGCTCCTGTCAGCTCCCTGCTGCTGTGGGTCCTGCCCCTGCCACCCCCCCCAGCAGGGAGTGGGCACAAACGGCTGAAAAACCTGCCTGGGCAAAGTCCAGCCTGGCATTGCACCTGCCCTCTTGGGCTTTATTGAATTTGGTTTTTTTTTTTCTCTTTGAGTAGTAGGACACTGTTTGTATTCAGTTTCCCAGTTTTATAGGCTCTGGGGGTCAAAAACCAGCACTCACCCAGTTGAGCAGTGACCTTGGGGGTGAGCGAGGGCCCGGGTTGGAGCAGGTGTCTCTGGAGTGTTCTCTGGATCCTCCTGCCTGTTCGTGGAATCAGAGAGTCACAGGGTTGTTTTGGGTGGAAGAGACCTTTGAAATCATCCAGTCCAACCATCCCCCAGCACTGCCAGGTCCCAACTGCCCCGTGTCCCTCACCCCACATCTCCACGGCTTGGGAAACCCTCCAGGGGTGGGGACTCCACCCCTGCCCTGGGAAGCCTGGCACAC